GCCAACACAGAATCTTATGAAAAGAAATGCCTGAGGGGCATTTGTTGGATGACTGAACAGCTATGTATACACATCATAAAAGTGTTTTGAGTGACGGCTGCGTAGTAAGACAGAGCTGATCCTCTCAGGTGACCATTTGACATGGATAATTCCAATATATGTGTTCCTGTGTGTGTGTGTGTGTGTGTGTGTGTGTGTGTGTGTGTGTGTGTAAACCAAAGGCCAATGTTGGATATCTTCTTTAACAATTTCTCCACCAAGCTTTTAAATAACTGAACCGTGTCTCCAGCCCACTCCTGAGTCTTTATTTTTTAAACAACCAATTTCACACAATTTAAATATTCAGATTAAATTAACTTATTGATTGATTGTTATTTATAACATAATTAATTGTCCCTTATCGATTGTTAATTAATTATTCAGATTAAATTAAATGTTCAGATCCTACTCTGCCTACCCAGCATTACAGGACAGAGACTCACATTCGTTGCCTGTTTCTGAAATCCCCTTCCCATTTTTCTGCCATTATTTTTCTCGTAGTAGGGTCATTCTGAAAACACACTATGTGCTAAGTTCCTGCTGGAGATGTAGTGGTCTGAATTTCACTGGGGATGGAGAAATGAAAGCAACCACTTTTAGGAAGAGGAAATGTAGTCACAGGAAGAAAGTATGCAGTCATAAATTTTTTTTTTTAAAAAGTGACGCAGTAAGCCAGTTCACTGCAACAAAGAGAGTGACTGGAAAAGATGAAATAATTGAATCGGAGTTTTACCCCTGGGGAAAAAAGGAGTCTCATAAATTGATCTCAGGTACCTTATGCAAAATTAGTACATGGTTAGGCGATCAAATATTTGCCAAAGAAACTTTCAGAAACCATTGATAACCTTCTCAATGGCTGGGTTGGTGCTGTACCTCACGGAATCGCTCAGAGACGTTTACATGATGGATTCTTGGAACAATAGCCTGCTCAGGCGCTTTGCGTCCTATTAATTCTTTATGTTTCCAGAGCAGACTCTCAAGAAACTTCCCAGCAGCGCACATATGGCGTGTCAGTGTAAATGATGGCCCACGAGTGGGTTAACTGCCTGAAGAGGGGCATTGACTCTTTCAGGTTAGTGTGCTTCCACCTAGAGCAGTGCTGGGGGCAATAATTGACTAAATCATACTCCAGTGGCTGGGAAGAACAAGAACGATATGAATTAGTCCCGGGGAGCAATTTACAAACTCCAAAAACCTGGTTTATTGCCTCATCCAGTCACAGGGTGTCTCAGACAGCGGGAGACTGGGTAGAGAAGCAGGTAAGGTTGTGAGGCAGCAGCTACCTAGTTACACAGCTTGCTAAGGGCAGGGCTGCCCCTCTGATTGCCTGATCATCCAGCAAGCCGTCTTCCCAATTTGGATTTGGGGCTTTTGAGTTAAAGTTTCAGCTAAACGGGGCTGGGATTGGGTGAAGTGAGAGAAGTCCTAAGATGTAAAATGAGGAACCCCACTCCCACCCTCGCTGCTCCTTCAGCGAGGGTGTTGACTTGAAGCGCTCACAGGAGCCCAAAATTCCACGCTTCCATTTGTTTCCATTAAACCCGTCAATGTTTACAAGGACTCATTAGTTGATTAATTCCGTTTTTCCACATTGAAGAAAAGCAGAGAAGGCCTTGGGGGAAGGGGTGTAAGTATAGAGAGGCGCTGCCCTAGTGTTCCTTGCCTAAGTCTGAATGGCCATAAGTCATCCATTTTACAGAAGGAGAGAACATTCTAGATTGAGGTCTACTTACCATGCAATTAACACATGGCAGTTTTAGCTTGAAGATCTAAGGACTGACTCCTTATCTCACAGTCAGTTTTCCACAGTAGCAATATTCTCTAGCTACCTTGTGAATTCCAGCTTCTAAGGAAGGTCCAAGCAGCTTTTCAACACGCATTAGGTACTCTGCAAAAGAATAAAGAGACAGGCTGGAGACTCCGGCAGGAAGCCTGTCACAAGTTCGAGAGCAGCCTGAGCTAATAGTGAGACTCTGTCTCAAAAAGAGACAAACAAAAAAAGAACAGGTGCACGGGGTACCTTGGTTCTCTACTCCCTACCTCTACTACTCTACTTAATCTCCCTTGCCCCCAACACAGAGAGAGAGAGATTGAGAGAGAGAGAGAGAGAGAGAGAGAGAGAGAGAGAGAGATTGAGAGAGAGAGAGAGAGAGAGAGAGAGAGAGAGAGAGAGAGAGAGAGCAGGGATTCAGCACTCTCTGTGCTCTACTTGGGAGCTTTATTACTCTCCAAAGGGCAGCAATCAAACAATTGACCCTGAGGTACCCACCCTGACTGATACATCCACAACACAATCCCTATGCCTAAGGCTCAGGAAACAATTCAAAAGGAGTAGAAACTGTAAGACTCAGAGGACCAGGACCTGCTTTGAGGTGGTGTCTTCTACAAGGGACAGGGAAGCTGTACCCAATGAAATCTCAAAATTATAGTCGCTTAAACGAGACCTGCACAATGGTACCAGCTGACATGGAAATGTGAACGGGGAAGATTTCCTTCCCTAGATGAAGAGCTACAGGCAATTAATGGCTAGAGAGAGAGAGAGAGAGAGAGAGAGAGAGAGAGAGAGAGAGAGAGAGAGAGAGAATTCAGTTTTCTCTAGGGATGAGCCCCAATAGGTTATTCAATTCTAAGCAGTCAGCTCTACACACATAAATAGAAGCATCACTAACTAGGCTCAGCAGATTGTATTCAGGTACACGTGTGTGTGTGTGTGTGTGTGTGTGTGTGTGTGTGTGTGTGTGTGTGTGTGTAAAACAATAATTAAAGAAGAAGAACTCGGGAAGCTGAGAGGGAGTGGATGGCATGGAAGCAGTTGGAACGAGGAGAAAGAGAGAGGGAAAGTGTGTAAATACAATACTTGTGTACGAAATTCTCAACAACAACAAAAAAACCTCAATTCAAATTTTTTAAAAGATAACAATCAATTTCTTGTCAAAAGTTTGCCCCCCACCCCATGCGCTTGTCTTCAAGTGTCACTACCATTAAAATGCCAGTTGATTCCTCTGAATTTTGACTCATTTCTTGCTTCAACAAATTACACTAAGTCACAAGTTCAAAGAAAGACACAGCACCCCTCAGAGTGCCCCCTCCCAAATGAAGCAATCCAGGAGACATGGGCCATTTACTAGGTGCCGTGAATCAGTCAGTTAACCACTCTACCCTCTGTCTTTGCTTGTCTGGTGACATATGGTGACTGGACTAGACGACTCAGCCCCTTCAACCTCTGCATCTCATGACTCCACTGTCCATCATCATTGGAACAGTGTGAACCATCACACTCTCTGATCGGAGTCTTCTTTCTGGAACACAGGAGTCTCATAAAGTAATCCCAGAAACCCAAAACAAAATGAATGGATAATTAGCCAACCTGATCCTTGTAAAAAAAAAAAAAAAAAAAAAAAAAAAAAAAAAAAAAAAAAAAAAAAAAACTTCTGGAACTCATTGGTAAATCCTTCCCAATGCCAGGACTGGTTAATTATGAAAACAATTTGTTCCAAAGAGATTGTATCCTTTTAGTGTTTTTGGGGGGGAGAGGGAATATCATTGTGGTGCCTTTTCTTCTTTTTTTTTATTTCTCTTTTTTAAGTATTCTAAAGACAAATTTATGTTTTCTTCATGAGTAATGGTATCTAGAGTGAAAATGCCTGACAAGAAGTAAACAAGCATGGAACAAATCCCTGACCCATAAAATGGTGACTTTGAAAAGGAAATTGCCCATCTTAATGATAGATTCCATTTCAGCCATCAAGACCCAAATTACAAGGGAATCCAGGTAACCAGGTCCCACCCTCATAGGCACAGCAACAGAAAAATCCCATTGAGAACTCTCCTGGAACTCTCTGTGAATGGCCACAGGCTCATCCCACCCTTTTACATCTAAAGCTCTGAGCAAGAATGTATTCATACTTTGCATGAATCTCCCCCACCTCCCTCTGTACCTACTCCATGAAAGGCTTACCTTACCATAGCCCTTTCCATAGCCCCATCCTACCCTGAATTATTCTTCACCATTTTACTTTTGTGTTTCTCTTCTCAGGGACCTAAGACCCTGGAACACAGATGTTACCATCTGTTTAGACATCTTTAGCTTAGAGATCCAAGAAATTCCCGTGAAGATATGAGTGAAATGGTAAGTTCGCCAGGGATTCAATTATTTGCCCTAGAAGAAGAGATGTGAACATTTGTTTCCTCTGATCCTCAGGAAGGGTTTTCTAGATGAAAAGCCAAGATCTGGGGTCAAAGTAAGCATTCATGGCTGCTGACATTGCTTCTTTATCAGTGAATACTGCTATGGGAGTGGGAACAGTCCTGCAAGTCACTGTCTGCCAGATACTACAGAGGAACAGGTTCAAGTCCAGCATATCCTTGTGTCCTCAAGATGATGGAACCTCAGAGCTAGGGTCTTCCCTTTTCAGTTTTTTTGGGACTCAGAAATTGTAACACCAAGCCGTATTATGTATGCCCAACACACCAAATGCCTGCTTCTTGCTTGTCTGTGTATGAAGTGTTCATTTCAGAAGAAACTGTTCTGTATCTGGATGCATGAGGGTAATCCTGGACATAAATAGAAATATTTATTTCCATGCTCAGTTAAATGTTTTCAGTTTGGCCAGGCATGGTGGCATATGCTTTTAATCCCAATGCTTATGAAGGAGAAGCGCATGATCTCTGTGAGTTCAAGGCCAGCCTGACCTCAGAGTAAGTAACAGGATAGCCAGGGCTACATTAGAGAAACACACACACACACACACACACACACACACACACACACACACAGCCTTAATTTGAGACCTTGAGAGATGGTTCAATGATTGAGAGCACTGGCTGTTGTTTCAAAGTACCCGAGTTCCATTCTCCGCACCCACATCACAGCTCACAACCCTCTATTGTTACAGTCCCATGAGATCTGATGCCCTCTTCTGGTATGTAGATGTACATACAGACAAGACACCCAGATAAATTCGTAAATGAATTTTTTTTAATGTTTTCAGTTTCCTTTATACTACAACTGAAGATAATTAATATGTCAAGAAGCAGTCTCTTGTCCTAGAGGGCCCCAAAATATGTTTCCTACTTTTGCTTTAAAGAAAAAAAGAATTAGCCGGGCGGTGGTGGTGCACGCCTTTAATCCCAGCACTCGGGAGGCAGAGGCAGGCGGATCTCTGTGAGTTCGAGGCCAGCCTGGTCTACAGAGCAAGATCCAGGAAAGGCACAAAGCTACACAGAGAAACCTTGTCTCAGGAAAAAAAAAAAAAAGAAAGAAAAGAAAAAAAGAATTGTAAAATGATTGCCATAATAGACATAGGAAAGTTTTCAAAGCCTTTGGGGATCAAGAGATGCTGGCTTAGGGGTCTGGGGAGGAGGCTCCTCTTACTGCTCAGGTCCCAACACCTGTCAGACTTAGCACCTGTAACTCCGGCTCCAGAGCATCAGATACTCTCTTCTGGCCTCCATGGGCACCTGCACACACATAAGTAAAAATAAAATAAATCTTTAAGCAGGGACAGAGGAGATGTTTAATGGTCTACAACAAAGCCTAGGATGATCTGGGTGCGTTCTGTGCTTTCTCCAGGGTCTCACCAGCGACACACAGAGCAGACTCTAGTACATGAGCACATCATGTACATGTCCACCAAACTAGTTTTCATTCTATTTTACACCATGACTCCACATGACTCTTCTATGACTGCTGCCATGGTTTAAGTGTACAATTTACACACTGGTCGCCCCATTTTGAGAGGTTGTAGAACCAATTGGACATAATGCCTACCTGGCAGAAATACTGCCCTCGTGTCAGAGGAGCGGGGCTTATGGGCTATCTCTGCTTTTTGATCCATTGATAAGTTATGCCTCAAGCTCCCACAACCATAGTTAGAGCCCTGGTCATCATGCCTCCCCCACCGTGAAATCAAAATAGTTCCTTAAGATACTTCTTGTCTGGCATTTGGTCGCAGTGATAAGGAAATAATATGGATGGGTACGCTTATAAAGGAAGGAAGTCTTACCTCATTTAACAGACCCGGATAACAGGCACAAGGCAGGGCAGTTAAAACTCCAAGCGCCTGCCATTAACACATCTTTTTCTGTGTGATCAGCCATGTGAAGAGAAGGTAGAAAGGGACCCCAGGAAGGTTCCTCAGCAAAAGGGCCAAGACTGTGGACTTCGAGATGTGAACAACTTGGACTCAGACCATTGGCCCGGGAATTGTACCTGATCTGGGGTCTGCCTTTCTCCAGGGTGACCTGCCATCTATGAGGAGGCCTGATTAAAACATTCAGTCCAGCTCAAATATTTTGTGAGTGCCTAGCAGCAGTTGCTTTCACTAAAGAAGTTTAAATGTGAGATCACCGGAGAGCTGAGCAGTTGGTAGCTGGCGCAGAAGCCAAGGGACACCAGGAGGAAATCAGGGAGCGAGGAGCTGAATTGCCTTGGCGGCTAAGCCCCCGTTAGTAGGCACAGGCAGATGCCTGCTGCTGAGGGGGTAGCAAGATAACCCCAGCCCAGAGCTGCATCCTGAATGACCTTCCAGTTCCTGGACCTCAATCCAGTTTTCGTGAGACCTGGCTGAGCGGCCTTTCCGGAAGGCTTTTGGGAGACACGTGGCTGAGTGGTGGAGATTCCGGTCAGCCTTCCTTTCGCAGTTAACCCAGTGGCTTCTGTCCCTTACAGCCCCTCATCTGATGAGCACAATTCTCAAGGCCTAAACACTTTCCCTAGCACACGGCAAGTGCTGAATAACTGCGGGTGTCTGAAGGGCCTGCCCATGCCCAGGGAAAAGCCTGAAAAAGAAATCATTTATGGTGTTTTTTTTTTAATTGATTCAAGTCAACTTCGTATTCCAAAATAATGATAAACTGAAAGTGAATTACATTAAGCTTTTCCTTCAGCCCATTTCTAAGGTACATTGCTACCATGCATCTATCAAAAAGGAAGCATCGCACTGTGCAGACAGCGGAGAGCATCCTGCTTTCAGGTGAGGTGTGTTTGGAAGACTTGCTTTGCACTTGGTTTAATCTCTCAATCGCAGTAATGTTGGTAAGAACAATTTTCCTCCCACACTAACTTCACTGACAAGCCTCCAAAGCAGCTGATCTTTGACTCCGAGTACTTGTAATAATATGTGATCCCCCCCCCCACGTTGCCATACACATTTCCCCTATCTATTGTCTCCGCTTCTTCAGAAACACACGCTCCCCAACAACCGGATGACTCATAAAACAAGAGGTGCATAGATGTAAATTGAGCCTGTTTATGCTTTCCCTGTCTCAGACTAATAAAATTAAAGAGATCCTACTAAATTCAGGTCCAGTGGTTTCTGGTGAACAGGTTTCCCTTAGCAGAGACGTACCTTATTTTGCCTCTGTCAAAGACAGAGCGACTTCCATGTCTGTGTGAATACAATGTATTTACAGTTCAGCCACATGCAGGGTGGGCAAAGACTGGTCCGCCTCTCGTCCTCTACAAAGAAGGCTCCTGGCTGCTGCTGGTGTTCAGCTAACCAACAGAAAGAAGGCTGAAAAGGTCTCACCTCTCCCCTTCTCAGAGCTCTGGAAAGAAGGCTGAGTTCCCCTCGCTGGACACTGCGCCCAGCCCTGTCCTTGCTGAGGTCCCCCCAAATACTTTTTCAAAACTCTGGACAAAGGCGGGTTTTGCCCTACCTCCCTTGACCTCTTCCTGATAAAGTGATCTTACGCTTCTGGAATTGAGATTTTGAATGTATGTGCCTACCCCAGGTCTGGTATTACATTACAACAAATGGAAATGGAGCCTAGGACTGAGCAGCCGGCCAGGCTCAGAAGCCTTCTTCGTAGGCTGCCATGTAATACATGATATGCAGAGCCTCTGACTTCAGCCAACAGATATTTGGAGGCCGTGTTGGCCCTACCATGGGGACTAAACTAATGTGTGTTTAGGTCAGAAAGCGAATCAGAAAAGCCACTGGAGGGCACGTCACGCAGTGAGAGTTCTATAAATGCATCCTCACTCGTAGCGTCCTCTGGCAAACACTCTGCTCTCCTCTCCCTGCTGCTCCGCGCTTCTTCTCGGCGCTGGGAGAACTTCGGCAGGCAGTTCGTCTCCTCGCCACTGCCTTCTGCCCTGCAGAAAAGCGGGAGGGCGCGACACTCCAGGAGGACCGACAGCCTTCGACGGGCTCCAGGAAAGCCCCGGGGTAGCCTCCAGCGGGCAGAGCGCCCTCCTTCGGAGCTCCGGACCTCGCCTCCAAGTTGCGATTGCCCCCTGGGGCTGCCGTGAGCTGAGCTCCCCGCGTTTCTGTGGATCTACCCGGCTAGAAGGAGCGAGCCCCGCGGCGGTTCCTGCACCCCCGGGAGGGGCGCTCCGCGTCACCCACTCGCACCCCGAGCCCGCGCCCCCGCAGCTCCCGGAGCCTCTTTCCCCGGATCTCCGTCCCTCCCCCACGTCCAGGCCGCCGCTGCCTCCGGACCGCTCCCCTCCCCCTCTCCCGGTTCCCGCGCCCCCCACTCCCCAACCCCGGCCCCCCGGCCCGGGCTCTCCAGGCAGACCAGCCTGCCCTCCTGGCGCCCTCATGTCTTCAAGGGACAGCCAGCGCGGTTTGACGTGGTGTCTCGTTCGGATCCCCAGGCAAGACCTCGGCATCATCAGACAGGCCCGCCTCATACTCTCAGCCACCGCGCCCCGAGGAGGCGCGGAGTGAGGCGACCGCCTCGGAGCCACCCGCAGCGCCCCGGCCCCGTGCAGCTCCAGCCCAGAGCGCCGCCGCGCGCGCAGCCGTGTCACCCCTCAGCCAAAGTAGGGGCGGCTGCTCAGACTTGGTCTTCTCCGGGTCCAGGCAGCCGGTGTGGGAGGTGTCGGCAGCCTTCGCTCTCCTCGCGGCGGTGGCGGCGGCGGCGGCGGCGGCGGCTGGCACGGTGGCCGCCGCCTCCTGCGTGTCCTCGCTGTCCGGCGCGACCCCTGGATTGCGTGCTCTTGCTCCCGAGCTTCTGGGCGGGGCCCCGCGCTCCTGCCCGCGGTCCGGATGGGTCTCCTGGCTGGGATTCGGGCCACTTGGAGTTAATGTCCAACTGGGGGTCTACGGAGACCGGATCCGAGGTAAGAGGGGGAAGTGTGCTGGAGGGGGACCGAGCGGGGCGGCGGCGGTGTCGTCTGAGGGCAGAAGGGTGCGGTTGAACCCCAAGCGGACTACTAAGTGTAAAGTAGGAGCTCAAGAGACACGCTGAACCGGAGGGACGCTAGCCTTGCCCAGGGTAGGTTGCCTTTTCCGCGTGGGAAAAATATATATATATATGGAGCTCCTGGTGCCCTGGAAACCTGAAAAGTCAGGGGGCGGGGGGCAATTCCCCTGCCTCACCCGGTAGGGCGCTGCTCTGTGCGGTCCCGGCTATCTTAGGACTGGTGAGACTTGGCCATCTACTAACCCGCTGCCGCCAGTGTCTTTTCCAGAGTGCAACTGCAGCGTTATCATAGCTCGGAGTGTAACTTACTGTTGAGCTTGTTTTGGTCTGTTCTGGAAGAAAGCTAAGCCCGGGGAAGGAGGGCTGCAAAGGTGCTGTGAACCTAAAAATAGAGGGCTCACCTCCTCTGGCGAAATCTTGCAAAGCTCCATGCCTACCCTTCTTCTCTCGGGCCTTTTGCTAGCACTTTGTTAATGCCCTTATGCGGGTCGAGGTTAGGAGAAGGGCTCCTTGCAACGCCTCGGCCCCCCGGGGTTCTGTCTGGAAAGACTCTTGGGAACCCTCCAGGTCTCCGCTAGGCCTTCGAGGTGATTGTTTTAATTGCCTCTTCTCCCTGGCAACTATGTGTCTCTTCCCCAAGACATCCCCACTCCGCGTCCCCCCCCCCCCAACACACGCACACTACTTTGTACCACTTTGAAGCGTAGACTCCTCAATGAGTTGGTTTTCAGCCCCACCCAGGGAAAAGAAACCCACGAATCAGGGTTTCCCCGCCTGGAGCCTCTCCTGTGGCAGAATCTGCCTTCAGGGCCCATGAGAGCGCCCTGGGAAGGTTGTCCAAGCCCGGAGTTCGCCAAGTTTGTGCTGTTTGACCGGGATAAGCGCGGCTCTGCCAGTCCCTTCAGGGACTATATTAGAGAGCACTAGACTCACTCTCCCTCCGTATTTTGAATTTGTGTTTGTTTAGAGAAATGCAACTAACCCCCATAAGCGGGCACCTCCTCCCGCCAAGCCTTCAAAAGAGGGATTCGCCGTTTCCTTCTTGCCCTGACCATGCCCACTCGGTTTCTCTGCGCTTTGATGGGGGAGGTGTCTTTTAAACAAGTGACAAGTGTCTAGTGTGCAGGAAGCCCGCGGCGTCTCTAGCTCACTGTTGCAAGAGATTGGAGTGCTCCGGGGCCTAGAACTCAGCCTTGGGTCCTCTAACAAACGGACCCCTCTGATTTGCCTTCAAGAAGCATCCCATAGGTTTCCCCCTTTCTCCAAAGCATCCCAAATTTCCCCCCTTTCTCCATCCTGGGCTGGTCAGTTATGGGGGAGTGATAAGAGAATGCGTCCTTAGTCAAAGACACTGAGCACAGAAGATAAAAGCAACAGAGCTTTTAGTAATGTCTGTCCGGACCCTAGAGGAAACACCCGAGTTCAGAGTGCCCTCTCCTCCCACGCCACCGGGTCTTGAAAGCAAATCCCAAACAAACTTCCCAGCCAGTCAGCTCCAAAAAGGTGCGGGGGCCACTGGCTGGAGGAGCAATCGCCCACTGCAAAGCTGTCTCAGTGACAGAGGATCAGGGTGTCCAAAAGCAGGTTGCCAAGAAACCACCTCAGGTGAAATGCGGAGAGGGGGAATGGGGAAAAGGAACAGAAGAGTAGAAACCTGAAAAGTGAGGATTCGCATAAGGACAACCACAGGTCCCTGGGCTAGTTTGGGGATAGATGGCAGACACAGTGGTTCTTCTAGGGTTTTATATTTTAAAATGATAATTCAGCCTACCCGCCGCACAAGCGCTACAAGGCCCGAGCGGTTTCTGGTGCCCCCTGGTGCCGGGAACTCAGAATCGGTGAGCAGCGGTTTGGCAGTCGCTACCGTGGCTTTCCGCGCATCCTTTAACCCGGAGTCCTGGGACCCACCGGGTGCCCACGTGCGCCGCACAATCCTTTTGCTTTGCTGGGATGAGTTGGTCCCAGATGCAGAGAGGAACCAGCTTTCCAAGCCCGAGAGAAAACGAGGGGTCACTTGGCAGAGCCAACCTCAGAGTGAAAAGCTTGGGCTCCCACAAGAGCCGGTGCCTTAAGCTATTCTCACGCGCCGCAAAGGCCAGGCGTGGCAGGGACAGATCCAGCCGATGCTTTGGGTGGACAGCAACAAAGAGATAAGCAGAGATGGATGCCTCGAGGAGGGGCCCAGATGGATTCATGGGAAGAACCTCCTAGGAGACGCAAACCCCATCTTTTGACCGGAGGGAATGGGGAGAGCAAGTGTCACCAACTAAAGCGCGGCTTGGAAAGAAGCCGGCCTCGCAGCTCTCAGCAAAGAGCGCGGCGGCTCAGTCTCGGGATGGGAGGGAACGCTTTCGGGGTGCCCAAGGCTCCCGGCCTAGGATGAGATGGAGAGCCTCCTCTGGCGAGGCGGAGAGGGAATGTTCCAGTGTTTCCCTCCTTTGCCAACGTCGCCACACTTCTGATTGAGACTCTCCACGTCCAATTTTAAAAGCCCTCCGTAAGCCAAACTGGGAAAAGGGGAAAAACCCTCTTAATGCGGAAGGGAAATCTGGTGCCTCCGCAGCTTCCTGCTGCCGGGCACGGCGATCCGGGACAGCGCCTTAACCCCGCGCCTCCCTGCTGCTTGGGATCGCCAGCCATTTCGCACGCACCCGGGAGCTGGCAGAGCTGGCACCCGGGAGGAGGCGGGAGGCCTCGCCTTCCCCCGCTCCCAGCTCGCGAAGCAAGCGCCTCTGCACTGCCTAGGAGTTTTCCTGGGCCTGCGCGCCGCCGGGAGGGACCCAGAGGCGTCTTTTTCCCTCCTCTGGGGTGTACAAGCCAGCCCGCGCAGCCGGAACCTCGGCGCTGTGTGGTTCTGTCGCTTCCCAATCTCCGAGTCCAACAGCTGCGGAGACAACAGACGCCCAAGGGATGGAAAATGAATTCGTCTCCGCAGCGGTGGGAGGTGGTGGCCGAATTAAACGCTTTCCTGGTGGCCTTATCAAGGGGCCTAGATTGGAATTCTGGGTGGAGATTGTGAGGGGCGGGAGGGATGTACCCCGGAAAGGAGGGAGGGCAAGTGCCTGAAGACTAATAGGAAAGGTGCGGAGAGGATCTTTTGGTTTGTTGGTTTGTTTGGTGTTTACCTGGAAACTGTTTTGCCCTCCCCCATGGAAAATGTCAAGGCTGTTTTATTAAATGCATGGATTTTCCGATTTGAGAATGCTCTCCAGGCAGTGGTCTCCCGACTCTGGAACACTGGGGCTCCTAAAGGCGGGATTAACACCATACCCCTAGGTGATTCAGTCCTCCCATCTGTGGATAGGACTTCTCACCAAGTTCACAAAGCTTTTTTACCTCGCTCACCCCAGACTGTATGACCCTCCTTTTCAGGGACGTGAGGCCTAAGAGTCCAAAGGACTCTCTGGAAAGACGTGGCCTTCACTCCTTCTGGTGCCCGAGGCCTCCTACAGTGTTCAGGATTCTGACGATGGTCCTGGTGTAGCTAGAGGCGCAAAATGCCACCATCTCTGCTGCGAGGGAGGGGATTAGAGCCAAAATTTCACAAAGCTGCAAAAATTAAATCAAGAGCATTTTAGGGTATACCACGGAAGATTTTTAAAAATTCGAGATATGTGCAATCCCTGCCTACTAGCAACGGTCAAACATTTATTGGGCATTTACTGAACTTTTTCATGTTAATGTTAATGATCTTGAGAAGTGGAACTAGCGTTTTAAGCCAAGTCGATGCTTCCGAAGTTAGGTACTTTAACCCAGACACTTTCATGCAGGCCAAAGTCTGCAATTCCACATTAACTTGCTCTGGGTGACAAAATTCTTACTTAGCTGGGATGTTGGAAGGGTGGGCGGCGTGCAGGGCGAGTGTTCCCACCGAGCCTGCATCCTACCTAGTCGGAAGGAAGGCCCAGCTTGAGACAGAGGGGTCAGCTTGGTTTTAGTCCTTGTTGCTTGCTTGGGTGGAAAGCTGGTTCCCAGGGCCTAACTATGGAAGCTGCTAGGTGGGGAGGGAAGGTTTCTGTCCAGGGCCTGGCAAAGGCAGCCGGATAGGGGCTACCCTGTTCACCCCTGAGGGAATATGGAGTGTCGTGCGCCAGTAGAAGCAGCTGGTTAGTGGTTGCAGTATAAGTCCAAAATCTGGGACCTGGGGACTGGAGGGCTGGGAAGAGGTCAGCAGAGGCCGTGTCGGGAATGTGGGCTGCACCTGGGGAGCACCGGGATGAAGGAGCTTTGAGTGGGAGACCTGGGCAAGGGCGGGGTGTTCGGGAGCAGGGCTGGGGAACGGCAGGGAAGCGGCTCGGCAGCCAGCATCGGGGTCCAAGGCGTCGGAGCCTAACTTGCAATGGTGCGGTTCTCTTCCCCGCCGCCCGCCCCGCGCAGGTGCCGCCGCTGGACGGGATTCTAAGATGAAGTTATGGGATGTCGTGGCTGTCTGCCTGGTGTTGCTCCACACCGCGTCCGCCTTTCCGCTGCCCGCCGGTAAGAGGCTTCCCGAGGCGCCCACCGAAGACCGCTCCCTTGGCCACCGCCGCGCGCCCTTCGCTGCCCTGACCAGTGACTGTAAGAACCGTTCCCTCCCCCCCTGGGCCATCATCGGCGGACCCCAGGGCACCCCCACCGCCGCACGCACGCAGCCACCCGGGGCCAGTCTCGAAGGCTGTGAGCCTCCCCACTCTTGGGCTAAGTGGGAAGGGCTCTGAGGCCCTTAAGGGTACTCCTTTGCCCGCTGCAGCCCAAGGGTTCCCAGGTGCCTTGCTTGTGAGTGACAGGGGATCCCTTGTCTAGTGCAGAGGATATGAATAGGGTCCCTTTATCATTCCCATCAACAAATATCCCACTACCACCACCCTCACAACCAAACACCACCAGAGCACACATACACATTGCCCGCCCCTTTTCTCCCCTGCCCCTCTAGGAACACGCCCAGGGGTCTTTCTTGAAAGCTGTTTTACTGTGCCTACCTCCAAAACCTCTTGCACTTTCTCCCCCATCTGCGCAAGCAAGGGGTTTTGTGAAAACCCAGCCAGAGAGAAAACACAGAGGAGCCTCCATCTCCAGGGCTAGCAGCATCTGCCTAGTGTCAAATCTGTTCTGAAGAGTGCTATGGTTAGAAAGACTCGAGGGTGGCTAGTGCAAGTTAAGCTGAAAAGGAGAAGCGTTTCAAACACACCCTAGAATGCTAGCTCAAAGGAAAAAAACTAACAAAAACACAGGGTACTCTTACTTTAAAAACAAGTCTGCAGTTCACTACTCAAAAGCTATAACATGTTCTAGAAGCAAGCAATTACAGTGATGATTTGGTACAATCTACCCTGAGTTCCTCAGAAGTCCATCTGGGTAAAGTGAGGTAGATACATAACAAGTGACAGAAAATATCTAGGCAACAAAGGTAGCAACAGAAAAATAGATATACCCTCAAAATACTCACTCCTACCCCCCACCAACCCCCACCCCCCTTAAAATTGTTGACATTGATGTTTCCCACTTGAACTGTACTGCCCACATCAGCCCCAGGACTGAAATCATCCAAGCATGAAATGTGATGTGCACAAGTTCCACAAAAGCAAAATTTTATAAGGATTTCTAGAGTGATTTAGGGTTAAAAGGGGAACGTAGTTGACCCCTTGAAGTCCCGAGACTTTCCATCAATTAGCTGAGTAAACTCATCTTTAAAGAGTTTCACATCCATCACAAGTTTAGGGTGATCGTACAAACATTTCTCCAGTAGATCTTCGCTATTGGCTTCATTCATCCATTCCTATAAGAGCGGGCCAGAGGGACAGGAACACAGTGGCCAATAATAACAGTTCTTTAATTCAAATGTCAGAGGAGAGAACAATGATCAATTACAAGCTGATTGATTCTTGGAAGTTTAATTGCTGTATAGGTAAACTGTCCACCTGGGCTTGCTAAGTTGAACATTCCATTAAGTCTTACGAGTCAATGGCTTTAGAACTCAATGAATAGTTTACAACTGTCCACAAAAGGGAAGGCTTTTTTTCTCCCACATGCCAGTAGCGACCAGGTCTGCTCCTTGGTGTCCACGCCCCTATCATCCTTTGAGAAGAGACTCATATAAAGAGACTGATGTCCTCTAGGAATGCTGATGTCCACTGATACTGGACTTCATGCCAGATTGTGATGTAACTGGTTTGATGTGTAGCGGGGTGTGTGGACTTTTTAGATGTTTTCTAGGTGGAACCAGTGCCCATTCAAAGTTGTGTCGCCATAGGTTGAAAACACCCTAGGAAAACCTACAGCTTCTGTGGGTTAATCAGCCACCACACAAGGGAAATAATATTGAAGTCCATTGGCTGCATGGAGCCCATGATGATATGACAAGGAATTGCTTCCTCTTTCTCAAATGATACCTAATCATCTGCGGACAAGATTCTGACTACTGATTTTGTTCAAGACAGCAGAACACAACCAGTTCTGCTTTGTCTGTGGAAAGACCCAGTAGAGCCTAGACAGAGAAATTACCCCAAGAGAAACTGAGCTGTGTTCTAAGCCAACTGACTTCTTTCCAGGTATGTTCAATTCAGTAGCAAGCTGTCAGGGCAGGGAAAGCAAAATAATGACAGTGTGCAGACCTTAAATATTCAGCTAGTGTCAGCACACCCCTGCCACAGTGCTGACATTTATATCCTGCACTGTACACGGAGCAACTGGATAAGTCTGGTGTAGAAAAACATTAAGTCATTTCATTTCATTGGAAAATAAAAAGTGCTATAAATTTTGGCCCCTATGGTTTCCTTCAGGTGCTTGGGATTTAGTGATTAAGCAAAAGAGTTTCTGTCACCTTAACTGTCGCTGTGCCACTTCTACATCGGGGCACTGGAACTGGCTCCATCCACTCCACACGTTCACTCTTGAGACTGCATCTGTTCCACTGGGTCCAGTGCAAATTAAGCATCCCAAATTCTTTCCTACATGGGATAAGCTAAGCAAATAGGATTAATAACTGACTTGCTTGTCTCGAGGCCGGGTATGAAATAAACAGGCAGTGACCATTTTAAACTCCCGCAGAAACTTGCTTGCAGTTTGCCTTCCGAGGAGGCATCCAAGACTTTGTCTCTGGCCTCCCTCCCCTTGTCCATGTGTTCCTCCTCCTGCCATTGTTTTCTACAAAGGAAAATTGGAGATAGTATAGGGGAGGGTCTGCAGTGCGGCATATACAGGTGTTGCAGCATTCTGAGGCTAGCGGCATATACAGATGTTGCAGCATTCTGAGGCTAGTGGCATATACAGGTGCTGCAGCATTCTGAGGCTAAAAGGAAAACTTGGTGGTCCTGAGAGCTAAAAGGCAAAATCTAAAGTGCCAGATATCCACGGTGGCAGCAGACAGGTCTGGGGATGCCAGGGCCAGTGTTTGCCCAAACCACGAAACTATATTTTGTATGGAAGGGAGAAACTCTATAGGGGTTGGATGGTCTTCAACCAATAACTAAAACTGATTGTTTTAATTTTTTTAATCATACTGTCAGGTAATTCCTAATTTATTATACTACAATGGGATTACAGCCCTCCAGTTTGGTCACAGGACATGAAATTTTCCATGGAAATATTCTTTTAGATCAAGCTATCAAGTTCTCAGACAATAACCCATAAAACCCCCCATGTTAACCATGGTGAAACTGAACTGTAACTCACAAGGTTATTAAGTATGGGTCCCTGACTTGGGTACCATATCCCATAATACCTGGTGTAAGAGACAAGAAAGTATGAATTGGAGGCTACCTGTATGTAGAGAAACCATTAGGATAGACACTGAATTTAAAATTTAAGACTTGAATGGAGTCAGGCCAGCACTGTACAGCAGATGATGTTAAACTTCCAAATCCAATGTTTTGAGGTGTGGAACTCTCAGTAAGTACTCCCCACTCATTGCTTCAGCCTGTAGAGAGGAGCCAATAGGAAAGGCAAGTCACTACATCAGCAGGAAAGGAAAGGGGATCTGGCACTTGGAAAGGGGCTCTTGAAATTAAAATCTGTGAGGAAGACTCTTTTAGGGTACACTGATCACTTATCTGAGATCTGAGACTAGCATCTTCTTTCTCAGGCCCTAATAATGCTGTTCAGAGAAATGCTTTCAAGGCTCACTGATAATTGATCAGCCATAGGACATTGCACTGGCCATCCACCTAAGCATTATGCTCAGAAGTGCCCATGTTCGCTGACACAAAAGTGAAAAGTTTCTGGTATTTTCCTTTCCTACTGTATGTGTGATTTTTTTTTTTAAAAAACCCAGTACTTGTGGGCTTCACTTAATGAAAATACTTACAGTATAATTAATCATTTGAGCTCCATCAGAAGCCATTTCACATTAAATACCCCTCATATGCCAGGTATGGGCAGCATTCAAAAGGCAAAAATAAATCTAGTTGTGAATTAGAAGTAGACAGGTAGGCAGGTGGAAAGGTGAGTAGACAGGTCATCTGCAAGACAGGTAGATACATCTATCCTTTGGCTAAAGTCATGCTGCCAAGAATCTCTAGCAATGAGTCCAGCTGACATGGTGCATGCCTTTAGTCCTAGCACTCGGAAGGCAGAGGCAGGTGGATCTCTGTGAGTTTGACGCCAGCCTGGTCTACAGAGCTAGTTCCAGGACAGCCAGGGCTGTTGCACAAAGAATCCCTGTCTTGAAAAAAACCAAAAACCAAAAAGAAAAAAAAAAAAGAATTTCTAGCATTGTACTCACTGGGATTTAGAGAGCAGGACAGCAAAAAGTCCAGGTACAGGGATTTAAGAGGTGTTCGAAATGTGGGTAATTTGGAAGGAAAAGGAGAGGGATGTTACAGACTAGAGAGAAGCATGAGGAATTTGTAACCATGCTATAGAAGAGGTGTAGTTGATCATACAAGGGATGCAGCGCAGTGGGCATGAGCTGGAAGAGGTCCTGGAGTGGTGGGAACTGGGAGATGTCTCCCCGGGTGATCGTGGAGGAGGTACTGGAGAGGTGGGAACTGGGAGATGTCTCCCCGGGTGATTATGGAAGAGGTACTGGAGTGGTGGGAACTGGGAGATGTCTCCCCGGGTGATTATGGAAGAGGTACTGGAGTGGTGGGAACTGGGAGATGTCTCCCCAGGTGATTATGGAAGAGGTACTGGAGTGGTGGGAACTGGGAGATGTCTCCCCGGGTGATTACGGAGTGCTCCATCTCGATCTAGAAAAATGAGTTTGCCCTATTTTCAATGGGAGGCAGGTGATAGCAGGCAGCCTCTTCTACACAGCGTATGTATGGCAAATAGTAGTCCACTCCTCATGAGTGGGGCTTTCAGCATAGGCAAATTTTTCACTGGTAGTTTTGTGTTCTTATTTTTAAAAAGCTTCGAGTCACGAGCACGATCAAATCAACCTGCTCACCCTCCAGGGCATGTAAATAGAAACTCACCACTAAAGTTAGTGTCCCGGCACCCTTTGACTATCCACCTGAGTAACCTGGCTTGGAGCAAAAAACTTAATATCCTAAAATCAAATTAGTTTGAGCTCTACTGAACAAGGTTATCTCCATTTTATAGGTGAAGGAGTAAGATCTATCTAGAGAGCTGTTCTAGGT